GTTTTTCTAGTTATTTAGGGTGCTACTCACCAATTAAAAATAATAACCAATTTAACTAATATAAATAACTTTAAAAATATTGCTATATATAATCTACATAATTATTTTAATTTACTAGAATCATGACTAAATTATAAGACTATTTAAAAAAATATATATATATATATATATATATGTATAAATATACATATTAAAACACTTCCACCCATCAATAAAATTGATTATGTCTCAATTAAACATATTTTAAATATTCATACAATTTATATCGTTTTTGATCCAAATCAGAAGAGTGAACCGTTATTTCCCCTTCATGCAGTGGACACATTTTCATGAAAATATCGATTTCACGATGTGGGTAGGAGTTGTAATATTGTTTTTAATCAGAAATTGTTAATTGGTCCAACAGTTAGATTTTGCCACGATTTAAATATTAACTAAAGATCAATACACGGGTTGAGTATTTTTTTAGTTATTTGATAATCCATCAGTGTTTTTTTTTTTTTTTGAAGGTAACTTAGATGAAGAAACGCTAGATTATATGAATAAGCCTAGATGCGGTATATCAGATAATATGCTATCTACCAAAAAATCGGATTACAGAGATTATAAATTAGCGGGTAATTATAAAATTTAACACACGTTTCATTTAAAACGTAATGCTATAATTTTTTATGACGGTTTATATATTTGCAATTATATTAATATTTTTATTTTAGTATTCTTACTGTTCTAAAGTAATTTATATTTTTTAATTTTAATAATGTAAAGTCATGCAAGTCATCCTGAAGTTAAAAATAATTTAATGCAGCTGAATTCAATGATGTTTATATGTATTTCTCACTATGATGTAATAATTATAAGAATAATAATATTTCAACAACAATATTATATTGTGTCGATTTTAAACCCTTATATGTACGTGAATCTTCTCTTAAAATAGATAGTGCGAGACAATAAATTTGTATTATAAATACAGGATGATTTACCTAGTATGATCATTTCTTATTTTCTTTTATAATGTAGGTAGCTATTCAAAATCTTATTTTTTGAATTTTTGAATATATATGTATATACTTAAAGACTTAAGACTAAAGAGTGTCCGGCAGGGATACCAACTTCTGCTTTTCAAATGAAAAACACCCTTTTCTAATGCAGATTAGATATTTTTTGCGAATAATTTTCCAGAATCTAAATTCAAAGGAGCAGTTTTTGAGTTATTTAACTTTGTGTATTTTCCTTGTTCCGTTTTGATGGGTTTTGAAGATATGGGGAGAAGGTAATATTAAAATAAATACCAATTCCAATATTACATATATATATWTTGTACTTATGTAAAACTATTTTTAAGGAAAATTGTCCTTATTATAATCATAGTAATAACTAAAAACTGGTCGTTCGAATTTTGAAAGAGGTACCTAACTTAAATACATAAAAAAATACTATACACTAAATAATTTACAGTTAAAAATGRGGATTTTCTGCTTAATGGTTAAATACTTTGATAATACAATATTTATGAAATAAAAATTTTAATATATTTCTCAAGGCTAGTTTGATGGTTTTAAAATTGTTGGGAAG